CGTGAGTGGTTCCCCCACACCATCATAACTAGTAAATGACTCGCCTATCAGTAGGACACGATAGATACATCTCTTGGGGCCCACCTCCCGCGAGGGCTCTTCAACTTGCCTTTTTCTTCGGGCCTGTTCTCCGAGCCTTTTTTTCACACTAACCCTTCGTGGTGTTATGTAGACTTCTCACTGAACCTCTTCCCAGGAAGGGATAGGGAAAGACAAGGGTTGTTGTAGCGGGCTGGCTGCTTCGTCATCTTTAGCCACTTCATCATATAGTGATTCCACCGCCAAGTGTGCCTCATCGATGCTAAAGGGGTCCTCAATCGCGGGTATCATCACTTCTTTTCCACTCTAAATCATCTTCATGCACTGGTGATACATAAAAAGGACCGCTCCTAGATCATTCATCCAGGTGAGCGTTGAAGCATCGATCACATGGAAGGTCATGGGTACCCTCACCTTCCCCATGACTAAAGAGATAATGACATACCCGAGGTTCCTTCTCTTGTCGCTGGAGAATTCGACGATGATAGTCATTTTTCTGATGAAACTTGACTCGCGAAATCCAAGTTGCTCATATCTGGACAAAGGCATGACATTGACTGAGGCCCCATTTTCCAGAAAAGTCATTTTCAAATGTACCACATTGATCTTGGTGGTGACGTAGAGTGGATGATTGTGCTTCCAGGGTACTTGGCGATCCCGCTCCGTGAAGGTGATGGCATTAGACATTTCCTTGATACTGTGGGACACCGAGCTTTTTGCAGCCATGCACTTCTCAGGGCCTGAGGGCTGATCAACGCACAAGTCTATGATGGCCTTGGTGGCTGCCAATCTGGTACCATTAATAAGTCTCAACTGATTAAATTTTTTTTTGAACTTGACTATTTCCTTCAAGATATGTGCACTCGTATAGGGGTCAATCTCTGGCACATCGTGCCAATCTTCTAAGGTCTCTTGATTTAACTAGATTTTAGGGCACTCTTTGAAGTTACCTTCCGCTATATCCTCGATTCGTCATACAACGACACTATGTGCACCTCCTTACCTTCTTCGTAGTCTATGAGGGGTAGATCATGGACATTGCCCTTGACACCCGTCAGTACCAACTCTCCACTCTTTAAGCACTTTTGAAATAGTCGGTGCATGGTCCAGCAATCCTTAAGGTTATATTTGGTGCGGCGATGAAATTCACAGAAAGTCAGGCTATTTTTTTCTTCTCTAGTTGGCTCCTTTTCCACTAGTGGCCTCTCAACATTATCGTTCTTAATCCATTCCATGAGAATCTGTCAGACTTTCTTTATACCACAAGGATATAGAGGTGGCTCCTCAGGCTTGGAGGCTCTCATTTGCTTCTTTGGACGCTGACCCCCTTCAAGACCTCTTCAGCAACTGCAGTAGTTGCTCCTTTCCTCTTGTCCTTCTAATCGGCTATCTTTAAGGAGGGCTGGACCACCTCTGAAAGCCTTTGAGCAGATTCGCATAGCCTAGTAAAGGTTGTAAAGCCACTGTTAACCAAGTATGCCTTGTATTTGTTGGGTATTTCGTCGATGCAGATTCGGACAAGGGCCTCTTCGGTGAGATTTTCTTGGCACTCGATGGCTTTGTCACAGAACTTGTCAATGTATGTCATCAAGGCTTCTCCGTCATCCTGAATAGTCTTCATCAGGGAAAGTACTATAGTACGCTTTCGACATGGAAAAAATTTACGTAGAATTGTGCGACCAAGTTGTCCGAATCCCTCACCGATTCTGTCGGGAGGTTAGTATACTAGGTGAAGGCTTTGTCCTTGAGGGACTTGGAAAATTCCCTCATCCGAAGAGGCTCAAGGAGCACATAGTGGCCAAGGCTATCAAGATAATAGGTAATGTGGTCCCTGGGGTTGCCATTTTTTCCATCAAACTTCTTGAACTTTGACGATGAGTACCCTACAGGACACATAGCTTGCTGCACAACGATGGTAAACTTGGACCTTATGTCTATGGTTGTTGGCATAGACTCTTTTTGTCTATCCAGTAAGACCTGTACTTGGGCCAGCATGACAAACCTAGCACTCGGCACTCGCTGTTCTATGTTGACTGAGTACAACGTCCAAGCGGCTACTGATGGAAATGAGGTGGTGGCGATGGGGGCCGAAAATGTTGAAGGCATGGTTGCGGGGACAGTGGAAAAAATAGTTTGACCCCACACTTGGGCAGTTGTCGATGTTGTTGTAGAGATGGTGAGAAGAGCCATTTGGAAAACTGCGAGGTCATAGTTGTAGCCAGTCGTAGCATGCTCACATATGAGAGTCATTGGAAAGTTTAGGAGAGGTGCACTAGTTGTGATTACGGGTCTAGCCATAGTGGGTACCTCAGGGGTTATGACATTTTGAGGGCCCATTGTAGCTGCTTGTTGTAGGGGAGTTAGAGATCCCGTTGTAGTAGTTTGTTGCAAAAGTGCTAGAGGATTGCTTGTGCTAGTTTTCTATGAGGGAACTAGGGGTTTAGTTGCATCCATTTGCAGCGGAAGTGGTAGGGGGTTCACTGGTAGCGTTTTGCAAAGTTAAACCACAAGGGCTTGACTTCCATGATGCACCATTATCGCCTGACAGTGCCATTGGAGGAGATATCGGCAAAGTCAAAATTGATAGCACTAGATACTACGGAAGCAATGACAAGAACATCGGTGGGTTTTGCAAGCCAGGTGACCAGAAAATACATCTGATCTTGAATCATCTGCATTATCGCAGCCATCTATTGTTGCAGAGTTTGCATGTCGTGCAGAGCCTGCGCTATTGTGGAGGGCCTTGGCAACTCCGAAGCCCTTTAACTCATAGAGGAACCATGGCTATCCTCGTACTGGGGTGGGCTTTTCTGTTGCTTGCCTTCCTTGTTGTTGTTGTTTTCGGTCACCGTATTAGACAATACTCTTCCACTTCAAGTTGTAATAGACATAGGATAGCGAGGACAAACCTCCCTAATGGAGTTGCCAAAAGAATATAGGTGGAGGGTTAAAAAAGGTTGACACACGTGTCTATGCCAAGGGTAATCGAAGGGGGTGAGTAGGATAAGTGGATAGGATAGAATGAACTCAAACAACCTGTTAATGAAGGGACATACCAGTTGGGCAGAGGGTAGGTGAACAATGCTCTCACCAACTAGAAAAAATCCTCTTCCGTAGTGGAAAAGTAATGTAGGCATTTATAGCATAGTGCCTAGATAGGTCGGGTTGCCCAAAGGGTTGCCCGCCGCGACCCCCTATCACTTGTGCAAACTCACAATCGCCTCAACTGCGATGATACTAGTGGCCGTTAACACGAGCCATGCATCCCAACATTAACTAGGCATATGTGATGATTTCCTAAATGCAACTTGGGCGTGGCCTTGAGGAAGTGCAACAACCAAGGCGAGAGTGCAAGGTCCATGACCTCGACTGGTCACCGTACGACCATGACCTTGAGAGGGCCATGTTTGTGATGCCCCCAGTACGTTTCTACCTGGGGTCTTTTCCCTCTCTAGACTTTTCTTTGAGATCTTTGTCGAGGTGCCTAATAGAGGAAACTCACATAGTTTCGGTCCTTCAACCACCAATCCATATGTCCCATCATCCCATATGTTGATCCCGGCTAATAACCCAAGTTACCTTAGGAGTTTCTCCGGATCCCAGTCAAACACATCCCAATGGGTAGTGAGCCATACACTAGGAGGCCTGCTCAAGCATATTAAACATTTGAAACCCTATCCCTATGTCGAGGTTGACAATCCTACTCATCTGCCCCCTATTGCTCAATTCTCCCTTGAGGAGGGCCATACTCCTCTGTCCCTAGGTGGGGACACCTCTTAGTCCAGTAGGCCAATCGAGCAACGACATTCAATAGGTTAAGGATACCATTCCCGTAGTGGGGGAGACGAGTCTTGCCGAGGTTGCCCCCACATTTCTACGATTCCATTTCTGTCCAACCGTGGTGAAATGTCTATTTTGCCACTTCCAATGCGATGGAGATGTATCTTGCCCTTATACGGTATTGTGCTTGAGGGCGTCGCGCCAAGGGGTGTCGCATTTGTCACTGTTATCTATACCAGTCTATCTAAATTCTGTCGGACGTCATTTCCATATAAACGGATAATTGTTGTCACTTGTTCTGTTATGATAAAGACACGTGTCTTGAAGTTTTTCGAGTACTACATTATCTTAAAAATTAAAAGATTAAACATTTTGATGAAAAATAAAATATACATATGTAGTTATAATGCTATCTTTATAAATGAGATGAATAATAATAGATTGATGAAGTTTTTAAAGGTTTTTTTGAATATTTTATTAACTTATAATGATGCACATATTTTTTAAGAGTAATATAGTCAAGCAAAAAGTTTCATAAAAATTTATATTTATACGTAGAAAATAGAAAATTAAAACTGATATTAGATGTAATTTAGAGATTAAAATACAAAAAATATATGATGATAATTTAGATATTAAGTATGGAAGGATAAATTAGTCTTTTTATTTTTTTATGAGGGTAAAATAGTGAATCAAAAGTTTGTATTGTTAAGGTACTTTTATTAGTAGTATAGATTGTATAAATAATAATTTTTATTTTGTTAAATAGATTGATTAGATCGGTCTTATAATATTATTATTTTATTATATACCAAAAAATAAAATATAATATATATTTGACTATAAATCACATAGATATAGATAATTATATATAACTATATTACTAATAAATAAATTCAAAAAAGTTTAGAAATCTTTATAAAAGAGTTTAAAACAAGTTAAAAGTTAATTATGTGTAAAAAAATAAAAATATATAAGAGGGTATAATTAAACTTATTATAATAATTAGAGAAAAAATAAGAAATTAAATTATTTTTGTTGTTACTGATATTTATAAGTAAAATGAATATAAATATATATGTAGATATAAATATAATTATTGAGGGTATTTTGGGTATTAAAAATCAAAATGAGCTTATTTCTGTCCCAAATGACCCCTAATAAAGCTGCCATGCCGTTTCTGTTCTTCACTGGCAATAATGGCGGCACTGCAAATCAACTTAAGACCCTTTACACCCCAGGTCCAACACTTGCGAGCCAAATCCATCATCGACCATGTCAGTAGACCAGCTAAAATTCGCTGCTCCGCCACCCCTCCCACAAAAAGCTACAACATCACTCTACTTCCCGGCGATGGAATTGGTCCCGAAGTCATCTCCGTCGCCAAGCACGCCCTCAAACTCGCTGGATCTCTCGAAGGTACATCAAACCCTTATCTCAAAATCCCACCTTTATTTTCCGTTTTGGTAGTAGAAAGAGACGAAAAGGAAAAGAAAATTTTTAGTGAAAAACAGTTTGAATGGTGTACGGTGTACCTTATTCTGTTTTTGAGGTCATAGACAATGAAATTGAAGTGTAAAATTTGTTTTTTTTTTTTCTCTTCCTTAATCTTTAAGGAGCCAAGGAGTGTTTTATATTTCAGGGTTTGGGGTTTAAGAGTAGAATGTGACAAGCCCAATTCTTATTGGGTCTGGCCAATGGAGCCCAAATCAGCCACAAAGCATGTCAAGCCCACTTCGGCAATTCGACTCAGCCCAAGGTCTAAGGGGTCCAAGAAGATTAGAGGACATGAGAAGTAATTATCAGGATACTGACTCTCGAAGATCAAAACTACTTTTAATGGCACTTACCTTTTGTAGTCACTCGGATAATTAGTACCTTTGCTCTTACGTCACCGCCTTAATTAAGACCATGTGCGTATAAATTATAAGTTCTCTCTATATGAAAGGACACATGGAACTCTACCTTTACCCCTCACAACACATACATGACTTTTCTTTCTTCTAACTATTGTACATCTCCCGGAGCTAACTATTGCTCTCTCTTATTTACCTTACTTCATCAATAAAGACTCTTAGACCGCCGTTGTCGTTTTTTTGGAGTAGAGTATGTCACTCGGACTGAATCATTATATATTTGTGTGTTGATCCGATATTTACATTATTGTTATTAATTGTTCTATTAATTGTCTATTAATTATATTTTATCACACGCTTGACTGTTGATCTTGCATAAGTCTATTTTGTATATCATCAGTTTGGCGCCGTGTGTAGAAAACGACTAAGTTTTCTATTACCTTGTTACTCTCTTGAAATCCATGGTAATCACGACTAGATCAATGAATCAACAACCAAGAGACAACAACCCAGCTCGCCGGGGGAGGCTCTACCTTCGCCCGTACCAGTAGAACCATCTACTGTAGCATCCCTCGTTGGTTAGACAACAACTCTCGGAGACCATGCAGTTGTTGGTAAGCCAAAACCAACAAATAATCCAGCTGATACTCACCTCAGGAGGTGTTGCCCCTCGACTGGTAGGAGTGGTACTCCCCCCGATTAGAGAAATGCCACAGTCTCACCATTTTGGGCGCCAGGGCGCCCTCCGAGGGGCCCAGCACCAGAGCGCCCCTAGTTAGCACCAGGGCGCCTTTCGCCGAGGAGTCCCTCCACTATGCACAGTCGCCACACATGCTCCTCCTCCGCATGTACCTGCACCATACACAACTGACCATCTCGAGCAGAAGGATGAGGGGGAAAACCAGTCTGGAGATCACGAGAGCTACTACAATGATCCGACAGAGCATGTTCCTAACCAATAGGATGAGAAGATCAAGGAGGTGGAGGACCAACTTGGCGATGCCCTCAACGCCACCAAAGCACAAGCGCTAGAGACGGTGGATTACTTGGTAAGGCGAACTGAAATCCCTTTTGTTGCAAATATTGTCAATTATCCCTTACCCTCGAAGTTCTAGATGTCCGCTATTGAGATTTTCAATGGCACCAAGGACCCTCTGGATTACCTTGACACCTATAAGTCTCTCATACAGCTCCACAACGCGCCTGATGAGATAATGTATAGAGCCTTCCCTACCACCTTGAAAGGGTATGCTCGACAATGGTTCGCATAGATAAAACCTTCCTTTATCCATTCCTTCATGGAACCGAGCAAGTCTTTCATCTCCCACTTCATTGGGGGACACTGACATCAAAAGCTGGTTACCCACTTACTCACCATCAAGCAGGATCGGGACGAAAGCTTTAGGGACTATTTCACTCGTTTCAACTAGGAGGCTCTCTAGATCGAGGAGTTAGACAATAAGGTATCCATAGACGCCTTCAATGCAGGTTCGCACTCCTCCAGTTTTATGTTCTCTATCTTAAAGAACCGGCCCTCCAGCATGGCCGAGCTGCTGTCAAAGGCACAAAAGTATATCAATGCCGAGGACGTTACCAAAGCTTGACAAGGTTAGTTTATCCGCTAGGTTTGGCAATTCTAGACACGACTTGTGGAACCGATACGAACCCGACATGGATTTAACGGGTTTTGGTCTAGTCTTAACGAGTTTGGGTGGTTAACGGGTTAATTCGGTAGACCTGTGAAATAAATGAACTGATTTTATATTTAACCCATAAACTTGTTTCAACCCGTTTAACCCGTTAACAGTTGTACTATAAATTTTTAAAAAAAAATTAGTTCATTTAGCCTCTGCCTCATCTTACACTTCCCATCTCTTAGACTCATTCAAATTTAGTAGTCATTTAATATTTATTTTGTCTTTATTTTTTTGCTCAATCATGATTTATTATTATAATAAACAAGTCAAACATATGTAATATGTAGCAAGTTGATTTTTTGCGTGTATTCGAAATACTCTAATCTATTCTCTTATTTAGCGAGTGACACGCGGGTTGTTTCAGGTAACTCGTCTAATAAATGATTCATGTATGAGTGTGATAGTTTGACTCGTTTATATAAACGCATTGAGTATGGATGGAGAATTTTTTGACACAAACCCGTTCCACCCAACATGAAACCGCTCCACTTGACACGATTGCCAGGCCTACCTCCCGCGGGGGTGAGAAAAGAAAGGATACCCACAAAGACATGAGAGAAGCAGAGAATAAGAAGAATAGGACATAGTCTCTGACTACCTTGGTCTCCCACCTATGAGAGAGCGGCAAGCTTTAACGCCACTCAACGCCTCGGTGGAGCATATCTTGTTCCAGATTAGGGGTGACAATTTTTGATACGACACGATAACCCGATACGAAACACGATACGAATAAATGGGTTTGAGTTGACTAATTTTTTGATATGACCCGTCAACACGAAATTTTTATGGGTCGTGTTTGGGTTCAACCCGCTTAACCCGAATTTACTCAAATTGACCCGTATATTTAATCGGGTTGACACGAACTCGCTGACCTGTTTGGATCCAGAATTGACCCATCACTATATAAAGCATTTAATTGTTTTTTTCAAACCCTAACTTCATTTTTTCCTTCCCTCTGTCCAGCCGCCTCCTTCCTTCCCTCTGTCCAGTCGGTTTCTTTCCCTCATTCTCTCTGTCCAGACTCCGGTTAATCTCTCTTGGCGACCAGCGGACCAGACCAGGTTAGTTCTCTCTCTCGCTCTTTCTCTTTCTCTGTCTCTTCCTCTTGGCGTTGTTTTTTATCTTGGCGTATATTTTTGGCGATCTCTCTTGGCGACCAGCGAAACAGAGCAACTTGAAATTGTTATTGCATATAGTATGGCCTCTAGCTTGAGATAATTACTCATGTATACAGGTTTTGTTATTGGTTACTAATTGCTATTTCACAAATCTGAAAAGCCAGTGAAAAGGCTCGGGTTTGATGGTATCATCAAACCCTTGCTAAGCCATGCCAAACTTTACTCATCTTTTGAGTGGACTTTTTGGTATTCTCTTTCCAGGACTCTCGGGATCTCGATGTTGATCTGTAACAGGATAAGGTGAACATGGATACTAAAATTAATTTATGTTCCCATTGAACTCTCCAATAATTTCAATCTATATACACCTTATTCTGTTAGATTTAGTAATTATCGTGGGATTGACTTGTACATTTTTCTATTGTGGGGTGTGGGATGATATCACCATTGTATTGAATATATATATTTTTTCACTTATTTCAGTAGCCGTACACTTACCCAGATTGCAGTATTCAAGTGGTCTGTATTGTTGGAAACAAAATTCTGGGTGATGTTTTGTTTTTGTTGTTCATTGGAATTCTGGATTAAGCTTGATCTTTGTTGGAATTTTTAGAAACTCAGATCATGTTCTATAATCATGTTCTATGCTTTTAGAATGCTCATTTTGTTGTGAGTTCCAACCTGATCTATGTCCAGAGCTTATGATTTTGGGCTGAGCATGTTCATTACTTTATGTGTTATGCCCAGATCCGTGATTAAGTTTGTTGATGCTTCGTTGGCTTTGGAGGATATTCTTTCTATTATTCATATTCTGACTACCCTCCTTATTTTTTGCGGTGCTACTCAAAAAAGTCCACTCAAGCTTTGATTCTCCAGCAGCTTGCGTCTAAAGGTGATAATAGTAAAAGTTTTAAAACTTTCTGTGTAATGTGTCTGTGTAATGTGTGCATCTTGCAATCAGAATTTATTTTCAAGATTATATGTAACTAAAAGCTTTCTATTTTAGTCCTAAAATAGATTGTCATGCCCCAAACCAAATCAACTCTAACTTTCTGTTCATTACCTGAAACTTCCACTGTGTACACTCTAACTTGATGTGTCGATCACCTGAAGCTTTCTGTTCATTACATTTTTGAATGTTCATTACGTTTTTAATTTCTGGAATCTCGTTACGTTTCTAATTTTTCTAATTGTCCAGAAAAATGGAGGATACATCATGTACTCAACCGACTGTAGATGTCAATATTGAGCTTGAGAATACATTGAATGCTGCCCCAGATACAGAAAGTGGAGATAATAAGAATGATGAAAAGCGGCAATGTACTTCCACATCAGAGGTATGGGGGTATTTTAGAAAGTATGTAAATCAAGACAATGTTACAAAGGCACAATGCAACAAATGTAAGATTGAGTATAATGCTGCTAGTAAGTATGGAACTGGTAATTTGTAGCGTCATTTAGAGACTTGTTGAAACAACGTGATGTGAGCCAGTTAATTTTAAGTCAAAGTCAAGGGTCTATTACTGCACGGTCTTTGAAGGTTAACGAGAAAAAATTTCGAAAAATGTTAATACGTGCAATAATTAGATATGATTTGCCCTTTCAGTTCGTTGAGTATGAATGTGTGAGACAAATCTTTAGCTACTTAAATCCAGATGTCAAATTTATTATAAGAAACACGGCTAAGGCTGATATTCTAAAATTGCATGCAAAAGAGATGCGTAGGTTGTCTGTTATCTTGCATGACATACCTGGTAGGATTAGTTTGACTTTTGATTTGTGGACATTAATTGCTATCGATGGGTATTTAAGTCTCACATCACATTTCATCAACAAAGATTGGGTATTGCAAAAAAGAATTCTGAATTTTTCTTATATGCCTCCTCCACACAGTGACATTGCACTAGCTGACAAGATTTATAGTTTGTTGACAAAATGGGGGGTTGAGAAAAAGTTATTTTCAATTACTTTGGATAATGCTTCTGCAAATGATGTCATGGTTGATATGTTTAAGAATCAACTTAATTTGATAGATGCTTTGCTTGGTGATGGTGGATTTTTTCATATTTGTTGTTGTGCTCATATTCTAAACTTAATTGTGTAAGAGGGGTTGAAAGAAATAGATTTAACTGTGGAAAAAGTCAGAGAGAGTGTCAAGTATGTAAAAGGTTCTCGGGCAAGAAAACAAAAATTCTTAGAGTGTGTTGCACAAACATCTTTAGATAGCAAAAAAAATTTGAGGCAAGATGTTCCTACTAGATGGAACTCTACATATTTGATACTTGCAAGTGCAATTTACTACCGTCGTGCCTTTTGTCATTTGCAACTTGTGAATTCTAATTTTAAGCATTGCCCATCTCAGGAGGAATGGATCAAAGTTGAAAAGATTCAGATGTTTTTAAAAAATTTCTATGATACTACTGTTATTTTTTCTGGCTCCAAGTACCCCACATCAAACTTGTACTTTCAACAAGTTTTCAGTATTCAATTGATTTTGAATAAAGAAATGCAAAGTTTGGATACTTTTATGAGAAAAATGTCTTGTCAAATGTATGAAAAATTTGAGAAGTATTGGTTGGAGTATAGCGTGATATTAGCCATTGCAATTGTGTTTGATCCTCGCTATAAAATTGACTTTGTGGAGTGGTGCTATAAGAAGCTTTATGGTGAAGGCTCTCTTGAGTATTTTCATGTTCGAGACAAACTTTTTTCTCTATTTGATGAGTATATGAGTAAATCTGTTGTCAGCTCTTCTTCTCAATCATCGACTGTTCCCCGTGGTGGTGTAGTTGCTTGTGAGCCAATCTTGAACACACAACCTGTGTTAGATTTGAAGGTATTTAATTTTTTGTTTTATAGTTTTTATTGTATTAGATTAATAATATTGATAGTCTATGATTTGAAAGTCTGTGATTTTGATAATGTAAGCATTTGTCAGTGAGAGCAATGCATCTGGCCTTAAAACACAAAAAAGTCAATTGCAATTGTATTTGGATGAGCCTAGGGTTGACATAGAAATAAAACTTCTTGTTCTTGATTATTGGAGAGCTCATCAGTATCGTTATCTGGAACTTGCTATTATGACTCGTGATGTGTTAACTATTCCAATTTCTACGATTGCTTCAGAATCAGCTTTTAGTATTGGTGGTCGGGTTCTTGACCAATACCGTAGTGCTTTGAAGCCTCATGTTGTGGAGGCTTTGATATGCACTAGGGATTGGTTTTATAGTTTTTATTGTATTAGATTAATAATATTGATAGTCTATGATTTGAAAGTCTGTGATTTTAATAATGTAAGCATTTGTCAGTGAGAGCAATGCATCTGGCCTTAAAACACAAAAAAGTCAATTGCAATTGTATTTGGATGAGCCTAGGGTTGACATAGAAATAGAACTTCTTGTTCTTGATTATTGGAGAGCTCATCAGTATCGTTATCTGGAACTTGCTATTATGGCTCGTGATGTGTTAACTATTCCAATTTCTATGATTGCTTCAAAATCAACTTTTAGTATTGGTGGTCGGGTTCTTGACCAATACCGTAGTGCTTTGAAGCCTCATGTTGTGGAGGCTTTGATGTGCACTAGGGATTGGTTATATGCAGAAAAAGGTAATAAATATAATTTGTGATGACTACGATATTTAATTATTTTTACAAATATTGAATTCTTATTTATATGCTTTCCTTATTGTTATTTAGAAAAGTCACAAGTGCAATTGGAAGAGCTGATAGAAGATGTAATGAATCCGACTTTGAACAAAATGAGGATGCATCGGTGCAATGTTCAAATGTGATTGTGGATCTTGATTGTTGATGTGTGTGAGTCATAAAACCTAACTCTTTTTCTCAATCTTATGCGTTTGTTTTTATTTTTTGTCACAACAACCATTCCATATTTATTGAAGTTAAAAGTTTAGTATGTTTCTTGGCTGGATGTTGGCCAGATTTAGGAGATGAAGAAGATTTGATGAAGAGGATTTCATTCTAACGTGAGAGTTTTGTTGTGAATGTAATGGCCATAATGGCCGGCTTAGTGTGATTTTTGGCAAGATGTTTGTAATATTACTTTGGGATATTTGTAAAGTTGTGGATGTATTTATTTTGGGATATTTGTGATATTTTTAATGCCTTTGTTTTATGTAAAACTGGTCTAATTTTTTTTTTGTTATGTCATGTCGGGTTGGGTCGTGTTAGGCGGGTTTGAGTCGTGTTTACCCGAACACGACCCGTGTAAATCTCGTGTCGGGTTAGTCGTGTTTCGAGGCAGGTCATGTTCGTGTCCAAATTACCTAACCCGTTTAACTCACAGGTCGTTTTTGGGTTGATGTGTTTTTAACCCAATCAAAATGACACGACCCGGACACGACACAATACAACACGATTGCCACCCCTATTCCAGATACAGAATAACCCCATGCTTCGTTGGCCAAGCAAAATGAAGTCCGTCCCAAACCAAAGAAATTGATGACTGCTATGAGTTTAAGAGGTAGATCGAGGAGTTCATATAGCGAGGCCAATTGAGGCAATACGTTGCTGGCTGAGGACAAGTCCCGTCATCTGGCCAAAACCAGGATGACAGAAAACGCGAGCAACCCCTTGGAGAAATATAGACAATCTCCTGAGGGCTAGGAAGAGGAGGCAACTCTAACTTCGCCAAGAAAGCCTTAGCCCACATATAGGACACCGAACACCTGAAGAGCTATTATCAATAGTGGGTACAAGTCAGTGGCTCTCATTTTATTTGTCATTTTTTGTTTCAGTTGATTTATTATGTTATTTATTATGAAATAAAACTCTGCGAAGATTATTGTGTCTAGAACTATCTTTCTTTCATTTCGTAAAGTTTGTAAACAACTTATAAAAGTTAGAACATGACCTAACAACAAGGTAGACAAAAGTCGTCACATTCTCGACAATCAGTCACGGTTCACCGAGCCACTATCATCAAGGCTCTCTCTATTACCATTTACCCCTGGTGCCTTATATGGGACAAAGTCAAAGAAATCAATAACAGAAAAATTTGTCAAGCTCTTCATGACCATCAATAAAGGTGTCTGCAATGACCCATTCAGTAGCCTCCCTCCTTATCTCCATCTCAATGGAATGACTCTCTGCCATGACGGTTTTCTCCCGAGCTATACGTAGCTTGGCCTTAGCTCCGGCGGCCCTCTCACGGGACGCTCTTAGTTTTGACTCTGCTCTTGTGATGACAGTCACCTAGTTTTACCTTCGCTCTCAAGCAGACAACCTATATCCCCAGCTCAGCGTTTCTCTCATGAGTCGCTATAAGCTTGCCTAATTCTACCTCGGCTCTCAAGTAGATAGCCTATATCTCTAGCTTAGCGTCTCTCGCACGAGTCGCCACAAGCTCGACCTAATTTTGCCTTTGCTCTCAAATAAGCAGCCTATATCTCCAGCTTAGCATCTTTCTCACTAGTTGCCAGGAAACTCAGCCTCAAGAGGTATTACTCTCTCATGAGCCAACCTCGATTGCACTTAACAGCTCCTCGTGCTTGCCTCTCTG